CAGAAGATATGCTACAGAAATTCGAAGATGTATCAAGTAAACTAATTTTTCAATTAAAAGAGGACACAAGATGGAGATGGATAAGTTCAAATACTGGTCAATCAAGAACGGAATTGATTCTTTATTATCATCACATATAAAAATAGTTCAAAAGAATATAAATCAGAAATTAACGATTCTACCTAGAAGAACAATGAAATCAATGCAGGAGAGTTGACAATATAAGTATATTGAAAAAATATAATACCTAAAATGAAAACGAGGAAAGTGAAAAAGGCGAAGACATTCAGGTATTGTACTGTCACATAATTATGATAGAACACTAAAACATGGCAAAAATCATAAAAGCGAAATATTATATGAAATGTCTACTGTTCTCCGAAATATCATAGGAGAAGGGGGAAAAAATGGTGATGCAGCTTGCAGAGACATTTCACTAAACAATATTTAAGATTTGGTAAGATAACATATATCTTCCATGATAAGCACGATAATGAAACATGTACAAGTCTGAACAAAAAATTTGAACATCTTACAGAAAATGAAAAATAAATTTTAAAAAAATAAAATAAATACAACGTCACAATGAGCGAGTGCAGGAAAAGACCAGAAGAAACAGATGCATATAACACCCCAATTGGAGTTCAAAAAAATTGCATCTCGCCTTTTAATCCAGTACTTATACCAATCAATAATATATTATATGCCTCTGTATAGTAATAATTGTAAATGTGACAACATGGTCCACGTTCACAAAACACATTCTAGCAATTTGATGTTAATTAGCCACCAGAGTGTGTACAAACGCGTGGTTTTATTTGCTCTTAGCACGAGAACATTATAGCTTCTTATTTACATTTCCCGCTAACTTTGTTAGGATAAATTATACAGATTAATTAGGAACATTAATGCTCGGGTGGTATTATTCTAATAGATTTCTGTGACTCGGCGGTCGTGTATTTGCGCTAGTAATGCCAGCGAGAATGTGTTTTTGTTTGAACAATGTCCTATTTCCAATTGAAAATAAACACTTCATTAGCATGTGAAAGAATTGGCTGACGTGCAACTACGGGTTTTCAATTATTATAATCTTGGCAAGGTTGCTTGGCTATTATGGTTATGGGCTTGTTTGTATAAATTATCATTGACAGGTGAAATGTTTTGTTTTTAAGTGAATAAAATGTGATTTTTATTATTTTTTAACACATGTTTTACCTACTTACTGGCTATTTGGACTTTCTGACGGATTTTAATCGAAAACTAGAAACTATAAATGTTATAGTCGCAGCCGTGGTGTAGTCCCGGAGTTCAGTCTTGGTGATGCTTGAGAAAAAACATTCTTGATGTCCGTTCTATCTGTTCTATCTTCCAAGGACCGTTTCTTGTGTCTTTATGAAAGCTTTTTTTTCGTGTGAACTCGCTCATTTGTCTTTGGCACAGGGAGAGTCCCGTCAAAATCCCAAACTCCAGACTTTACTTTCGTTTCTTTGATTCCCTAGAAGCCATAATGACGAGATCCATGACATTTTCCGAATTGTCGATTGCCAAAAGGTTGAAATGTCCTTTTGAAAAAAAATGGTGTTATAGTTTCGTACTGAAAAGTATCCCTCCAGCCAGTCTCTTATGAGCCGAAACTCCCATTCTCCATTACTTATGGAACCATGCGCTTGACATTTGCGATGTTGTTCCAGTATTGCTGAGACTCATTTTGAAAGCCTAGATTTAAAAATTATTATTTTGTGAGATGGTGTCTATCAAGTGGAGCTACCTGATCCTGAACCCGGAATACCTAGCCCGAATTTTCCTTTCTTTTATCGAGTAAGCTTTATCTCAAAGTGCCTGTGTTTAATAGTAGTGGCGCCTTTACCAAACCAAACTTTGACCATACCATCTATGTATCAACCAAACTGATATGTATGTATCGTATTGTTGTAAGAAAAACTTAAAAATTAAAAAAATAATTCAATTAATTGAAGTTTGTATTGGGTATAGCTGAAAATTTAGTGATAATGGCAATGATTCAGAAAACCGAACGGAAATGGAACTTTTTAAATGTCGATAATAGAATTTCCATCCTACTATAAGATTTCAAGTTAGACATAAATCAATTCAACCAGCTTGAAAGGTAATATTTCAGCCGGGATTTATGTAGGAAAATGAACAAAATTTACATTTTAATACATAACAAACACTAGGGAAAACCTGGAAAACGTTATTTCCTACCTCACCTACTATTTATTGCATTTTCTTATCGTTGACTGGTGCAGAGGCTTATTTCAGAGGCGCGCGCTTTGTTTTTAGGGTTGACGATGATTTCGCGAAATGGCAATACCTATCACTGACCGATGACATTTTGTAATTATTATTTTGCTTCCCTGTTATTGAAATTAAATGGGTGATATTCAAGTCGATTAAACCTATAAATCAATATTATGAATGATTAAGAACTTGATGGTTATAAATTCAGAAAAAAATCTGACCAAAACTTGGAACTGAACTGTAACTAGAACTCGAATATATAATACATAAATGAAGTCTTGTTGCAATTGTATACGGTGGATAAACTGGGATAATTTCTTGAAAAGACTACCTATATAAGTTTTGGGAATTGTATATTGGTTTAGATTTTCTCAAAGAAATTCGGCACTGCTGTTGTTTAGAAAGTAAATTAATTGACATATCTGATGAATATATAAAATTAAATTTATACGTCTGAAAAACCTGCAGTGATTTTTGAAAGGAACCATAAAAGTTTAAGTGAAAAATTATTGGTGCTTTTCACTTCACTGTGCAATAACTTGAAATACGATATTGGTTGAAATTGCCCGGGAGCCGCAGCGGCGCAACGTGATAAAGCTGGTGTCAAAAAGATAATAGAACAGTTGAACGTCTTTGTTGGAACTAAATGAGTGTTCTTAAATCAAACTCCAATATGGCGGATAGTGTATACCGCTAATCGACCGGAAACTTAAGATTAGAGACTTCACTTCCGCGTCACACTCGACTTTTCCCTTCGGCTTGGTATATACACGTGCGCATTTGTTCGAAATGTATGAGGGATGATGGGGTGTTATGGATTTTTTTTGACATCAAATCCGATTAAGTTTTTCGCATCAAAGTTATTACACATTTTATACATTATTCCAGTAAATTACGTTGAACTGATTTTAAATTAGGCTCAGATATTGTAGATAGTCGCTTATTGTTAACAACACAAGTAAATACATGGGATGGACAATGTGATAAGTTCTCAGCCCTGTACCAAACTTTAATAAAACGGTTGCCGCTTACCTTTAAGAACACACCCTGTACTTAGGCCAATCCAAATAATATACATTTTACATTGAGAGAACTTATCTATTATCGATTCTCGAAATATTTACTAATATCGAACACAACGTGAAAAGCCGAGCGAATGAACTTATAGAACTAACTACACATATCAAAAGAAAAAAAAAAATGCAAACCCTTTCCTGAATAAATATTTCTTCATTTTATTTATATTAGGTACATAAAAACCATTATAAACAGATTCAGTCATCCATAGCTACAATATAAATAAGCAAAGTAGAGGCTAATAATCAAAGTTTTTTTTTTTTATTTTTGGTTCACTGTGATATGAATATCAGTTTATTTAACATTTTCTACTCTTTGTCCGGAAAAAGAACACAAATTCTAAATATAAGATCTTGAGCAAATTATTGTCTACTGATAACATCACTTATTTCGAGTTGACTCAACACAACTTTGCAACAACATAACCTCAAAATGTCATATTTCGAGCGTTGTCTACATTGCTTACGCTTTGTTCATATTGTTTACTTATTGTTGTCATATTTGACATTATTGACAATTTGTTTACCTGTAAATGTAGACAAATGATAGGTTACGTGTAAAAAACAATACTGACTGACTGCCATTATCTGTGCTGGCCTTCAAGGAAGAACTAGATAAATGATGTGCCTGCAACAATGTTTTTCCTAGAGTAAGACTAATAGGATTTATTCCACCTGCTATTCTAGTTTTTTTGGAATTGACCAGTCAAAAGTCTGTGGCGTCCCTTGCCAAACTGTCTCATACTTTTTACTCACAGCTGAAACCTATAATCCACAACGACTGAGTTGCTCTGTTAATTATAAGCTAATTGTAATGCAGTAACAAAAACAATATAAGTATGCATGCAAACATCAGTCTGCTTATGTGACATTCCTCTTTGAGTTGAACACTCTATTTCTAAAGAAGAATGAGCTAATATTGTATCTACTTGTAGGTACATGAAACTGCTCTATTTCAAAAAAATGGAGATTACAAGAGCAAAAACGAGCCCGATGTTCGTGTCTGTAAAAGATGTTTTAAATTTTGAGCCGCGCCCGATTTTCAACCTGATTGGACGACATTCTAGTCCTAGATGGCGCCACGACCAAAAGTCTCTCATCATACTATTAGGAATAGAATAGGGGATAATCATACTTAGTATCGAAGGATCACCTTTGATGATGATCTTAAATAGTTTCTTCAGAGCTTACATCAGGCCTCTGATTCCTGTGTTTATTTTAATTAGCTAGCAAAAAAAAAACCATAGAGCAAAGTTGATTAGAATGTAATGTGTGATTTGTTGGTTCAATACTCAGGAGACAGTCTCCAATCGGCCCTGAAAAAATCAGCCTGCTCTCGTACATTTTTGTGTGTGTGGCCCAAGTAGGTATAGATTTCCTGAACTATAAGGAAAATCAGATTGTTTTGCATTTGGTAATTATGTCATCACAGGCGTTGTAGTTGAAAACATCTCATGATTATACAACAATAAACCAGTTGAAGACGTAAAAGTCGTTTGGTATAATAATATAATAATCACAATTTTTTTTTTACATTTTAATATAAATTTGCTTGCATGAAAATCCTAAGTTTCCCAAACTGGGAATAATAGAAAGAAAATAACTAAATGTTTTTTAAAAAAATTATTTTATCTCAATTGTCAATAAATACATAATTTACAATAATTACAATCTATAGGGATTAAATCTTGATGATTTGATGATTTCAGTTTTCGCTTTCAATCCAGCTTTCTTCGTCTTTGTCCTGATGTTAGCCTTCTGGTTGACTCTGAACATTTGTGGGCACTTGGTGATGGCTATTTTCTTCTGGAAATTAGATGAATAGAGTTGGGTTTGTTCCAATCTTTGCGTTCTCACACCCACTCCTGGTCTAGTCAGACGAATTAGAAGGTCTTCTTTTTCTTCTTTAATAGCACTTCTTACTTTTTGCCTTAAAACTGGGTCGCCCCGAGCAATGTTACTGAAGAATGATGAGCTTCTTACAATGGATAACAAAGATTTGGAATCCAGTAGTCTCATGGTAATACACCAAACTTCAATCGGCAATTCGGGAAGCTTTGCAAATGCAATAGAGGGAAGTAGAGAATACATGTTGATAGAGCGACAGTTTGCAATGGAATGACGTTAGGACGATTTGTACCTGTATTTATACCAATTTAGCTGGAAATTCTGAGAATCCTCCCTGTTTTACTAGGAATTTTTGCTTTGCACAGGTATAAATAGAGGTGTAAACGGTTCAAACGTCATTTTATTCCAACCCTTCATGCTATCCACATGTATTCTCTACTTCCATTTGTTGCAACTAAAGCTTCTAGAACTGCCGATTGAAGTTTGATGTATTATCATTCTAAATCTTTATTTTTCACTGTAAGATGAGTTTATATTGTCTGAGAGTAAGAATTGCGAAGTGCGATTAAAGGAGAAAAAGAAGACCTTTTAATCTAACTCTTCTGACTAGACCGGGAGTGGGTGTGAGGACAGAAAGATTGGAACAAACCTGACTCTATTCATCTCATTTCCACAAGAAAATATAGCCCTTACCAAGTGCTCACAAATGTTCAAAGCTAAGAAGGTAAAATTCTCAAGAAAAATTAAGGCTGGATTGAAAGCGAAAACTGAAATTATCAAAACATTAAGATTTAATCCCTAGGTATAGATCATGTATTTATTGACAATTGAAATTAATATAATTCTATAAAAGTAACTTGAAAATTTTATTGATTGGCAATTGAATATTTACGACTTTATTAGGGATTCAGTCACTTTCTCCAAGCAATTAAAGAAAACTCTTTTTTGCTAGTTTGGCCGGGTAGGAGAACCACTTCTTCTTGGGGAAGAGGCCTTGAATGTTTGAGTATTGCCTTCTTTTAGTTTCAAAAGTTTTTTCCCACGCTTTACTATGTTCATATGCTATTTTGGTTTTGATAATATTCACAATTTCCCCTTTGTTGATGTCAACAATTTTTGGCACATTTGCATCCTTACCAATGTTAGTTACCTGAAGTATCCGCAATTTCATTTCCCGGTATTTCTGAATGCCCAGGAATCCAGGCTAAGTATATATTATTTCCAATTTCATTTGCTCAGAGGCTCATCACAGTAGAGCCTCTTAGTGTTCAAAGTGATATGGTCCATCGACGCATTCAGGAAATTGCTGGATAATTTTGTCACTGCGCTGAGAGAATCTGTGAAAATAATGGCGTTTTGTAGGTTTTTCCGTAAAATTACATTACTTGCCCCATGGATGGCTATAGTTTCTGCAGTACAAATGCAGAGTTCACCCTGCAGTCTCGATGAGAATATGAAGTCAAGCTCTAGTATGTATATCCCAAATCCTGTTCTCTCACCCTTGTTCGAAGCGTCTGTGTAGACGAATTTATATTTTTCTCTCAGGTTCGCCGTCTCCGACATAAATTTTTCGTTGGTAGCCATGTCTCCTCTGTTCAGGTTGTGATCCATCTTCTTTAGTGATTGTACTTGGGTACTGTAATCTATGTCATAACAGGGGTAAACTTCTTTTTTGTACATTTTAGAGAAATATGAAAAAAAAAAAAATGAGTTTGTGAGTAACATTTGTGTAGTTGGATCATGATTTGGATTAATGGATGATTCAGTATAGCTAGTGGTTTCGCAATGAATTTCACTGCCAACCATTTTCTTCTGTAATCCAGGGCCATCATTGCAACTTCAGCCACGAGGATATTGGTAAGGGTAGATCTCATGCCGCCCAGGCAAAATCTGAGTCCTTCAAACAGTAGGGAGTTTGACTTGTTCGTGTTTTTCTTTGAGGTAGGGTTGATGAAGATAGATCCAAAATCCAGATGTGATCTTACTAGTGAATGCCATTAAAAGGGTCTGAGGATCCATTCCTTACCACACCCTTCCAAATCTTCTTATTATATTCAAACCCTTTCTAGCATTGTTTGTAATATTCTCCACATGTTTATCTCACTTCAGGGTTTTCTGAAGTGTTACTCCTAGATACTTGACTTGGTTTTTGTATGGTATTGTTGAGTGTTCAAAAACTATGTTGGGGAGAGCTTCTTTTCGTGTGCCTTTTGTGAACCATACTGATTCACATTTTTCGGTCGAGAGGACTAGGGCGTTTTCCTTCAACCATTCGCTCAACCTTATCAAGGCGCTGTTGATTTTCTGCGAGAGTATTTGAATGTTCTTGCCCCTACAATATAATACCAAGTCGTCAGCATAACCTATTAGTTGTACCTCTTTCAGCAATAGTTTGAAAATGTCCATCACATATATGTTGAAGAGTATTGTGGTGAGTGGGGAACTCTGTGGAAGCCCAGAGGCTGTCAGTGTTGGTCCTGCATATGAACCATCATGCTTTCTAGAGTAGAGTAGTGTATTCGACACGAGTCTGAATGTTATATTTGCCAGTTCAATTGAAATACCTGTTTCTACCATTTTCTCATACAAAAGATGTACATATATCCACCGTCGAATGCTGATTTAATATCCAGAAACACTGCCAATATAGTTTCCTTTTGGCTGAAAGCCAAATTGACATGCGATGACAGAATCGCAATGTTATTTTTAATCCCCATTCCTTTCCTAAACCTAGTCTGGAACCAATTGAGCCTCTTAATGTTTTCCAACCACCAGTGTAAACGGTTTTTGATCATAATCTCCAGAAGTTTTGCAATAGCAAGAAGATAGAACTATCGATCTATAACTTTCTACATTTGATGGGTTTTTATTTGGTTTCAGAATTGGAATGATTTTATGGTTTTTTTCAAGATTCAGGAATTGTATTCCTGAAAAACAGTTGTTGTATATCTGGAGCAAACATACTGTGGCTTTGGGAGGGAGACTGCTCAACATTTTGTACACAATGTTGTCCATTCCTGGTGCAGATAGGCTTTTTCCTCTTAGGCCATTTTTCAGTTCATGAAGAGAGCAAAGTGTTAAGTTGCCAGGTAAAGGTTTGAGGGTGAACTCTGGATCCATGTTGCATATTGCCATATTGATTACGTCTGTGATAGTTTCATTGCTTATACTTGTTTCATTGAAGGGTTTATGAATATTTGAAAACTTTTTTATTTTTTGCCAAACATAAGTCAGGTTGAAATCTCTATTTAGGGTCTCGCAAAATTTGATGAATGAACTATTTTCTTTCTTCTTAAATGTAGTTTAGAGCGGGCAATTGATCTTTTGGCTTCTATGTAGTTTTCTATCGTTAAGCTGCTGTTAAAGTTTTGGATCTTTTCTATCCTCTCTTTATTGATTACGGAGCATTGTTCGTCCCACCACGGGTTGACTGCTACTTTTTGAATTGTTGCAAATTCTGTATGGCCTGCCGCCCCAGCCGCAGTGTTGATTATTTTGTGTAGCTCTGCAAAGTTGGGATAGTCGTGAAGATTATCCATGTCTTCCTCGACCTTTTCGTGACAGAAATCCCAATCCGCCTTGTGAAAATTTCTAATGGGGAAGGTTTCCCTCCTGAACTCTTGACCGATGTCAAACTCCGAGGGTCCTCCCTTGTAATTGACCATTGTAGGGAAGTGATCACTATTTCCGCAATCTGGCAATACGTTCCAGGACAAGGCAGGCGCCAAAACCTTGCTGGCTAAGGCGATGTCAACCGCACTGCTCTTTCTGTCAGGACCTTGAAATAGAGTAGCTGTTCCATCATTTCGGATTACTATGTCCTTGCTGAGTAAAAATTCATTAATTTTCGTCCCTCCCACGTTGGGGACACATTCATCCTAAGTTTCCCAGGTGATAACAGTTGAGATCACCCATAAGTAAAGTTTGTCCTGACAGGGACTGAACGATCTCATTCGAAAATTGTGTGCTCGCATTGCCATTGGAGTTTGAATATTTGTTGATCATGTTGAGCTCAGAAATGTTTATAATTATATATTGGATTCGTCCATTGTTGAAGTTTTTAGCATGTTTAAAAATGAGGTTGTTATATTGATGCATGTGGCCACGCCTGCGTAACCATCGTCCCTATATCCTATCTTATAATGTTGTAAGTATTTTAAAGTTAATTTATTGTTCGGTCTGAGCCAAGTTTCATTGAGAAGTATTTGGTCTGGATCGTATTTGTTAAATAATGCTACCAGGTTAATTTTTTAACTAACCCAAGTTAGCAGAAACAAGTTTTCTTTAATTTCCTGAAGAAAGTGACTGAATCCCTAATAAAATTTATAAAAGTATATACTGTAACGGTAACACATCTGCCAGGATAACGCATCCGCCAGGATGTCTAGAATCCAACCAAACTGTACAGAATTGGACAGCTGATTCGAGATTTTACGTTGATGTTCGGGAACAAGGTCGATCGCGTTTATTCCAGAATTTGCAAGAATAGATTAGGGATATATAAAGGCCGGTATTAGTTTGTAGTTTTTAAGTTGAAGTTCTGCTGTTATACGATTTATTTAGTGATTATTGTTGGGAGTTGTAAAGAGTTTAGTTGTTTACTTAGTGAAGTAATCAGTGTCAGAGTGAATAGTAACGTGATATAAATTATTGTTGTGTTAATTGGACTTTGATTATGGAACAAACGGACCCAAGATTTCTGTCACGTACACCAGACCCGTGACAATACATTTACTTATTTTCTGTTTCTTGTTGGGGATTCTGTTTCAAAAATCAGTATAATTGGAAGAAAGTAATTTTATTGAATTATCTTCAAATTGAATAGGTCTCTTGGTATATTACCATGAGACTGATGGATGTTCTTTGGTTGGTTTGAGTTCTTAACTGAAGTTAGCTTACTCCCACTTTTACCATTGAGTTCGTATGAGGGTCTATTTGTAATATTGTAAGTCTGATGATGCTGATGCAATATTATTTGAATAATTTTTGAACTGTGAGGCTGATTTTGTGTTTTGGCTTTGTCAGCCAAATAATAGAAGATTGCATCCATAAATATGGCTTTCGACATCAATAATAATTGTAAATTTTAACTGCAATTGACAAAAAATCAGAATCGTCAGCTGAATTTCGAAAATTCCACCCATTTCCTTCAGAAGGCATTTTATATCTAAACCCAATGAAAGATTTGGGTATAATACAAAATCCTAACGATTTGCAAATCCTTTATAATAATGATGATTGAA